ATTATAAAAAGAAGGCTTTAAAAAGATCGGTATCGGTGATCGGTGTCGGCAGATACTGCTTTCTGTGATCGGCCTCAAAAATCCTGATCGGAGCACCCCTAACCCCTAATACACATAATATACAAATAAAACAAACAGTGCTTTATTTTTCAGGTACAGTAGGTGTATTTAGCAGGAGCATTCAAGAAATTGAATGAACAAATATAAAAATAAAACACTTTATAGATTGATTCCTCTTAAAGCAACTGTATTAAAGTTTTTCAGTCGAGAGTAGTGAGTGATTTTTAGACAGTGTGTTTTGTTGTTTTATTAACATTAAAGGAAAAGTTCACCCAAAAATAAAAATTCTGTCATCTGTCTGTCAATTCTGTCATAGTGTTTTATTTTTATACCCTCATTTACTCACTCAAAAGTTGTTTTAAACATGAATGAATTTCTTTCTTCTGCTGAACATAAAAGTTATTTTGAAGAACGTGGAAAACCAAACAGTTGCTGGTCCACAGTGACTTCCATAGTATTTTTTTTTCCTACTATCAAATTCAATGTGGACCAGCAACTGATTGGTTACCCACATTCATCAAAATATCTTCTTTTGTGTTCAGCACAAGAAAGAAATTAATACAGGTATGGGACAACATGTAAATAATGTATAATAATAAGTAAATAATGACAGAAATTAAATTTTAGGGTGCACTATTCCTTTAATGACAGTCGGCTGCATGTTTAGTACTGTCCCTTTAAGAGCTGCACGCATCTAATATACAGGCATGCATCCGTTTTTCTCTCAACTGTTTACTTTCATTTTAGACATTACCAACTGATTCTGTATGTAAACCTTGTGTGTTTTGACAGTATTAGCACAAAAGATAACTTAGTTCAGCAATCAGGTGCTGTTTGACAGGCTTTTTAGTGTGTGCGTGCTTCGGGTGTAAGCGCTCAGAAAAAGCGCACGTCAGAACAGCACGTGAATTAAATATTTAACCAGTAAGGCTTTAAAGCACATGCAAATAATGTACTGTTGTGACTGCGAATAAGTGCAGTGTCCTGTGAGAGTAACTCTACCACTGAGTTAACACTGATGTGAATGTATGTGGCGTTGTACAGTATCTTGATACGGCGGTGCCAGAACTACGATATTTCTTCAAAAGCAGATAGTGGAGACATTTTAATCGTCATATCGCACACCCCTACCTACATTTTGATTCAGGGCACAAATCACGTCCAAATCAGGTTTAGCAGATACAACCCCGGTTCAAACGGACGGTGATGTTACCTGTGTGACAATGATTGGAGACAGGTCTTTGAGGTTCTGGATGTGAGACAGGAGCGAATCTCTCAGTGAGGTGTGGGTCTCTGGGGGAAGCTCGTAGAACGACGTCTGGATCTTCATCTTCATTGTTTGGGCTGCGAAGTAACACGATTCCACGTCCTGCTTCAGCTGCAGAAGCTGATCCGAGATCTCCCATGCATACATCTGTACAGGAGAACAAAACAAAAAACAAAAAAACTGATGATTTTGAGATGAACCTCATAATTGTCAATTCACAATTTCTATTTTCTGATATTTTGATGTCTCCCTCGCTCTCGTTTAGCTGCTCCCTTTAGGGGTCACCACAGAACAATCATCAATATGTTTTATGACTAAAGTGTGCTAAAATGTCTATTGAGCCTTAAATAAACTATATTTGCTCATTTCCCATACATAATCAGCATTGTATCAGTCACCCCACTCTCTAGTTATTGCCACTGAACATCAAGTCGGACCAGATGTATTTTGCATATGTATGCTGATGTATTTCAACATCAGATGCATCACACCAATATTGCTAATGCAAATAAATAGAAGTACCAGGAACCAGGAACTCATTATGTGTAACATATAATACACAACCTGCAAATACAGACCGTTCAATATATCAATTTAAGTGTCTTAAGGTGAAGCCATGCAGTGACATAATATTGCAATGCATTTTGGAGAAAAAACGGCAAATCTTATTTAATGTACTGTATTTGGCAGTCTGTTGTAAAATAACAGTGTCCGATTTCAGATTCTAGATTTCAAGAGAACAGAAATAAAAAATTAATAGAAATTAATAGAATACAATTCTCACAATTTAAATGAGCATTTATAATTTTTGGGAGTCTGCATAAATGCAATCTAACTAATTGGTCCCTTAGTATATTTCATTAAAATATTAAACGAAAAAGATAAGATTTGACAAGGTGGTGATAAGATTGTTTATTTATTTATTTTAAAATGTATAGGGGACAGACTGTCTTGTGAGGAGCAGGATAGTTAACCTAAGTGTCAAATGTGAAGCCACGCAATTCATACTATTTTCGTCACAATATTGCACTACTTCGTTCTGCAAAAAGCAACATATGCGTTGCAAAATTTCTCCCACTGGTTTGTAATCTTAACACCTTCCTTATCACTAATTTTGCAGTTTGCTGAAGCGGAACTAAGTGAAGAATCAGTAACTCAAAGGGCAAAACGACAAACTTATGGTGTTAGCAGAGGCAGCATAAATGCATCTGCATTGAAATTACAATTGCAACATTGATGTTATAATATTAATATTTGAAATATGTCTAATGATGCTTAAAAAAAGCTGTCTAGATACCCAAATCAGCAAAGTTTGAATTCAACCTACCCTGCTGGTAAACCCAGCTTAAACTAGATGCGTTTTAAAACACAGTAGCTGATTTCTAGCTGGTCTAGGATGGTAAACCAGCGAAAAAGAGCTACTAGTTGGTCATTCCGGTTTATAGGGTGGACCAGCTGGTTTTTGGAACAGCTAATGTCCAACAAGGAACTAGCTAACGTTACCTTGTTCAAAACACAGTCACCAACTTTCTAACATGGTAGTCTAGATAATAAACCCGATTTAGATCTCCTCGCACAAGTTCTTGTGTTCACAAGAACTATTTCTGCTAAACTTGCTGCTTAAACCCATCCCAAACTCGATTTAAAACCATCAAACCACAGGCAAGCTGAATGGATTTAGCAATGGATACAAATAAACCCCCACATCAGTCCAAAAGCATGTGACCACCTCCACTTCTCAACACGGCTAATGTTTATGGTTTACAAAGCTTCACTGCGGCCTCAGTGGACACTATTTTTAACGCAATGCATATTGTAAAGGTTCATTAGTGAGTGAGGGTGCTGTGGCGCAGTAGGCCCGCTAATGAACGCACCGATCTCTGCAGCTCTCCCAGCCAGACTGAGGCGCGCTCCTTGCCGGCAGGGTCCGGGTCGTGATACAGCGCCTGCACGGCCTGGTAAACCAGCGGCAGGGTGGGTTTCCCGCCTTCCATGGCGTTTCTAGAGGGTGTAGATATGGGGTAAATAACACGGCTTGCGCTTCTCGGGAGGTTGTAGACGCGCAGGTTGACTGTTTATTCGGCCCTCGCGTTCTCCGATCTGGCCGCCATCTCAAGCAGACACATGGCGCTCCTGTCAAACAAGTCCGTGTGGAAACCGCGGCACAGGAACTATAAGGAGTCCGGACTAGAGCGATTTTAGAATAATAACGCGTTCTTCGTGTTAATTCTTAGAACGATATCCACTTCTGAACAGGAACTTCTCAGGTTGGAATGTGTTTTAACGGTTGTGGTTTGAGTATATGACCTGGTAATACTTATTACGAGGATCATTTCATTGGAGACACACCCACTGCTACACGCTATTTAAGGGTCATTCCCGTGAAAATGTGACGGAGCCATTTGTGTTCCATATGGGAATCGTGAGGAATCGATTCCGGTTCCAATTCCATTCCGATACTTCTTTGCGATTCAGAATCTTTAACGCTTCCTTCATCGATTATTTTAATATTTTCAAAGAGGAAAAGGTACTAATTGAATTTAGTGCATTCAGCAAAACAGAAGAGAAATAATAAAAACAATCCAAAATTAATTTAATTAACTTTAATATAATGATTTCAAAAGATGTGTTTTCACTTCTGTTAATTAGTCCCAAAGTATATATATATATATATATATATATATATATATATATATATATAGCCTAAAATATTAAACCAAAAAAGTGAGATTTATTTATTTAATAAAATAACCACTGATTACAATAAAATGCACATACATACTACAATTTATTTTAAACAAACAGTCAGTCAAGTCTCTGATTTGTGTCTAATAAGTTCTGACTTTATACCTTAAAAAGTCATAATTGTGAGATATAAACTAGCAATTGCGAGAAAAAAAAAAAGTCAGAATTGTGACTTTATATCTCGCAATCAGGCCCGGATTGGCTAATCGGGAGCACCGGGAAAATTCCCGGTGGGCCGGTCTATTTTTTGGCCGCGAGGGCCGGTACGGTCATGCCACTGCTATGGGGTTGAAATAAGGCATCAAAGATTCTGACTTTATACCTTAAAAAGTCATAATTGTGAGAAATAAACTCGCAATTGCGAGATAAAAAGTCATAATTGTGAGATATAAACTAGCAATTGCGAGAAAAAAAAAGTCAGAATTGTGAGTTTATATCTCGCAATCAGGCCCGGATTGGCTAATCGGGAGCACCGGGAAAATTCCCGGTGGGCCGGTCTATTTTTAAGACCAAGCTGAATCCTCTGCCGGCTGCTCCTGTTTCACAACGAGCAGGACTCACTCTTACGTCCGAGATTTGATTTAGGCAAATCAGTTTGGGCGAATGCAATTTATTGATCATGAGCCCAAAATTTAGCAAGGCAGGAACACATTTAATCTACCCGAGGGGAGACGTCTTTCACTATTGTAAGTTAAGGCTGTTAAATAGAGAGGAAAATACATTTAAAAAAATGTAACTTCTAGCGCATAAATTCTCAATTGATAATTAATCATTATTTTTGCGCAAAATATTGTGTTATTTGTGAACGTAGCCGTTTGAAGAAGGCTTTAAGACCAAGCTGAATCCTCTGCCGGCTGCTCCTGTTTCACAGCGAGCAGGACTCACTCTTACGTCCGAGATTTGATTTTGGCAAATCAGTTTGGGCGAATGCAATTTATTGATCATGAGCCCAAAATTTAGCAAGGCAGGAAAACATTTAATCTACCTATAATAGATTAAAAAATGTAGCCTATAATAGAAAGCGCAAAGGCGGCGCTGAAAAGGCCAGTAAAATGATTAAAAAAAATAAATAAAAAAAAAACAAAGCTGTAGAAAAATATAATGAATTACAAGTCTGTAGAGAACAGTGCGCTATTGCAGACTTAGTTACTGAAGTTTTCAGTAGTTTTCGGCCCTGCTGGCAGTTCTGACTTTATTTCTCAGAATTGCGACTTTATGTCTCGCAATTGCGAGTTTATATCACACAATTCTGAGAAAAAAAGTCAGAATTGCGAATTTGTATCACGCAATTATGAGAAAAAAAAGTCAGAATTGTGAGATAAAAAGTCGCAATTACCTTTTTTATTTTTTATTCAGTGGCGGAAACGGGCTTCCATACTAATGGCAAATAGCAATATTAATAAAAAATCACTTTAGCTGATGTCTGAGAAAAAGTGTTTGTGATATATAAAGTTGTTTTTTTCCTAACGTGTAATGTGTCTTAAATATAATAAAAAATAATATTAAAAAATATCATAAGAATGAGATCATCTTTTGTTTTGCTGACAAGTTTCAACCTCTTCATGTTTTTCCCAGTCTCCCTCTTTCATCTCTATTTCTTTTTCTTTTTCTCACATGCACATGATTCTCTCACACACTGGCATAATAGACTAAAAAAAAAATTTAAAAAAAATATCCATGCAGCAAAATTCTATATAGATGGCTTTAATGCACATACATGTATGTTTCAGTTTTTAACAACAAAACTCCAAACTATTTTTTACACACATTCAATGAATTTAAGTTTCAATTATTGATATGAAGTTGATAAAGGTGCATTACGTAGTTCATCTCTGTAATTCCCAGGATGTCCATGGCCTTCCTGTAACCCAGGTCGTATCATACCTATGCAACTCAGATGCATAGCTTGGTTACAATACAACCCCGGGTCAATGGATGGCTTTTGACTTTTGTGAATTAGATCATTCAACACAGTGTACAAAATATCTGACACAAACATAAGTGCATTCTTATTTCAAAATTTACAAAGCAGCACATTTTAATTAATCAAATATAAAATATACTCTACATAAATTAATTGTCAAACATGCCGGTTATTAATATACTGTTAAATTTGTGTATGAATGGAATATGTTAACATAATCCATTGTACAGCTAAACAGAAAAGATATTTCTACCAGAGAGTTCAAATTAAAGACCTACAAACAACCAATTATACAGAACTGCAAAATTTGATTTCTATGTCTATGGAAACAAAGAACAAAGAGGCATTCTAGCATTAGCAATAAACTAATTATCAGGTCATGATGAATCATTATTAACCAAATTCACACTGTAATAAGTTTCTAACCTATAAAACAATACTTACCTGCCGAAACCAAAGAAAAGAAATGAGAGAGAGGGGAAGGAAAGATTCTCTAAGGAGAAACGAAGAGACCGAAATGAGGTGTATAAAAAGAGGCCGGATGTATAGGATTTACAGTTTAACACTCTTTATCTCTCTCCAGATTATCAAAATTGACCCACAATCTAAGTCTTAGCTAACAAGATAAACTGGCAGTTTGCACGTAATCCCTCTGTGACATCAATATGGTTTGTGGGGATTTTTAGCGATTGGTTTAGGTAAATCTTGTTTCCAGATTACGGCTTATCCTTGTGCTTGGGGACCTTAAGAGTTTGGTTTGCCTTTCACCTGCTTATACTGCTGCTCATGAAATGGAAGCCAAGATTTAACAAACTTGTTTGACCCAAAAAACTAGGCCAATACTTTAGGTTAGCTGGTATATTTTGTTTCCATGTTTTTAGGAAAAGGTTTTAGTTTCTCAGTACAGAGATACTTCAGTGTTAGACTTTAGAAGTTTCAAAACCTTTCAAAGCAAAGTTTCTTTAAAGCATTAGCCAATTCAGAAATATACAGTACTGATAATTTTCACATTTCTTATCAGACCAGAAATCTGCAGGATCAAGCCAAATCTTAAAAGCTGAATCATAAAATCCTCTAAAAAACTACTTGACAATTTTTTGTTGAGTTACCAGATATACTGAAATAAATCAGCTATAAGCATCGATTCATAACTATATTCTAATCTATATGCTAAGGTTTAAGAAGTGATTTGCAGGTTGTGAAATAACTCAGGACTAAGCTAAGTTGACTGAGGCACGTAGTACAGCATATTATACTACGTTTAAGAGGTAAACTTGTTTAATTTGCTGGCCAAATTATTCAAAGTAAGTAAATTAAAAACACTACAGAAATGTTATTCAGTGCTATTTACCTCTGATATATGTGTTGTTTGTGGACTTATATGTAAAGTAATGCTAAAGGAGACTCAATGATGGGGCCCGACAGTTAATCACTTAAATAGTTCAGTTATCTACACTGTAAAAAAAAAATTCCGTACAATTTATGGTAAAAAAAATGGCAGTTATGGTTGCCAGAATTTTACTGTAAAAAATACGGTAGCAACATTTTAGGTTTTACGGTTTTAACTTAAATTTACATTTAAATACCGTAATTTCATTAACTGATATAATGTTAATATACCAACCTATTGAAGTATTGAAATCTGTTTTGAACCTTTATAATACACTGATAACCACCAAAAGCAGATGGTGATGAGAAGTCACATGATGAACCAAAGCCCATCACAAGCAGCTTTTAAATATTATCATATATAGAAGGTGCACAGTGTCATTCACACAAACACTTAACACCATCATGGTAACACACATGAAACTGAAATAATGCAATAAACATATTCACTGTAAATTATACGTCCTTTTTCACTTCCAAATACGGTATACTACCGTAAAATTACATGTAATGTCCGATACAGTTTTTAACCATTTAACAGGTTTTTACTTTAGCATTTTTACAGTCTTTTACCGTTAAATTCACGGTCATTTTTTACAGTGTATATTTTGACTAGTTCTTTTTTGCTTTTCTGTTTTACACTGGTTAAACCAAGATGTCCCCAGATTACAGATCAACATTAAATTGGAAAACATGAACTGAAGATCCAAGTTTGAATCCATTGATTCATTACAAATCTGAAACCTTCATCTAAAGCTATTGGAAAGGAAAATGCAGGTCAAATGTGAACTAATATGTGTGTTGTTGAGTATGTAAGTTAAACGCTAATATCCACTGACAGCAACTAGCAGAAATACAATAATGTCATTATTCAGCTCAAGTCAGTTCAAAGTTTATTCAGTTTTGTTAAATTGTGTCAGTATTGCAAAGTTCATTCATTATGATCAAATTTGATTTCTCTTCTAAAGTCAATAGCTCAATTCAGTTCGAGTTTAATACCAGTTCAAGATATTACAGAAGTGTCTTTCTAATCATGTTGTATCACTGTTGTTTATGCTCTAATACAATCTAAAACATATGATATTCTGCATTTGTAGAGCAACACGTGTTGCCTAATCATGTGCTTAGAGATTCCATGATGGTGTTGAGCATAATTTGCATGGACAGGTCAGATTATCCCGACAACATGTCCGGAAGATCACCCGGAGGATGATCTTCCTTTTCAATCCCATCTACACCCCACTTTTCACACCAGGCAAGACTTTGAGGATTTTATAAAAGGC